TCTCTCACACTGTGTAATGTGTGTGCTGCCTCTGTTCATGTCACTGCTCTCTGTGCATTCTGGATGTCACTGCTACGCGAATTGTCTGTAAATACTATTTTTATTGTCTCTCTCCTGTTCAAATGCACCCTCTGCTCTCTCTGTTTTTGTGCTTCACACTCACTTCCATGGATATCCGTTCGTCTGCAGCACTCTTTCAATGAAATTGCATTTCCATTTTCCACCCAACACATCATGTCTTATAATCAGTTTAGTCTCACTCTCAGATAAACACATCGTAACCATTTTATTCCCTCAACCTTGCCAGGTTTTTTGCCTGACATGCTCCCTCGATCGTCATATTAGGTCCCGTCCATCATGCCACAGTCCCCTCAAGCTACTGCCACTGACCTGCCTAAATGTCATAATTCCTCTCACTCTTTCCCCAACACTTCGAACAGATATAGACTGTACAGTATAAATCATTGCTTATTACGTGCGACACAGTGTTGGCTACTGTTTCACGAGTCTTATTTCCCACAACAGAGGCCATGCTTCTGCAGACAAGAGCCATTCGTACTGTTACTTCCATGGTGTCCCCGACACCTCAGACAGCACTAAGCCCAAGCGGGGGTTCAGCAAAGACCTGGTGCCTGACTGCAGACTGATCCACTGATAAGTGTCTGTGAGTGGGCGAAGAGTTAATAGCTAGTGCCTTTTTATCTCACGTTGGGATGGTATGATTATATTTTCTTAGTATTGAATGAAACAGAGAAAGACATTAAATGCAGTCAAGGTATAGATAATTATACTCATATTAACAGTGATGTGTAACCTTAAAAATAAGTTATGGCACTAGAGTAAAGCAGAAGTGTCAAATTAGCCTATAAGGTTAACATGCGATTATATTCAACTAATTCCATAGTCACCGGGCGCTAGCTGTATGTGGGGTGCCAGGGGCTCACAGAGGCAGGGGAGACATTGTCTGCACCCTATCAGAGTTTGTAGTTAGACAAGGAAGACTGGCTTTAAACCAAAGTTTAATGACAATAGTGTCAGATAGTCCAGAGAGACACTTTCCACACTGGCCATGTGTATCTGCTGGGTCCGACCGAGCTGGATAGGTCAGCTCCACCTGAGAGGGTCCCACGGGGGGACGGGGTGGAGCAGATGTTTCCACCCATGCCTGTCTTCCTGAGATGCCTCACCAGCCACAGGCTCAGGAGAAGCGCAGCAGTGCCACCACATGCAGGAGTGACAGCCACAGCTCGGTGTGTCCTGAGATGCTCAGAACGAACAGAGACACACAGGGGACAGGAAGCAGTGCTGTGGACATGGTAGCAGTAGGACCTGTCATTGTGAGCATCCACACCAGAGACAAACTGTGACCACAGCAAAGGGAGATGTGCAGTCGACAAAGGTTTGTAGGAAACAGAGAATCTTAATGTACCCACTTAAATATGTTAAACCAAATCCTACCCTCGGGGATATATGCTGGAATCTGCTCTGGCTTCAGGAGGAAGCTGGAAGAGTTTAATGAAAAAGAAACGTGTTGCAGAATTTTATGCCTGCTCATGGAGAAGGCAGCCTGATAGGCCCCTCATATCCACCCTAAGGGGTGAGAGCACACGCTCCTCCCCACAGATAAGGACTGTATGATTTACATGCCTTTCGCTTCTGACAATAGGAGCGGACTATGAAACACGGCTCGCTGAAGTGCAGTGCGGCAATCCATTTAGTATTCAGTCAAAAGCACTTCACAGCTCAAATTAAAACAGCGGCATAGAGAGAACGTGAGATTCTGTATCCTGCTATTACACCCCAGAATATTGTATCACTCATACACATGTACATAACTTTAAAAGTGCAGTTAGTTTTTGAAATGAAATAGCTACAGTTACATGAAAACTCTCATTTTGATTTGCTCAAATTCTACCTAAGCCTATGCTAGAATCTTTAAGAGCAGCATGCTATGCTCTCTATGAGATTCATCTTACAGCATGTCAGATCGCTGGTGGCATTTTACGTGGCAGAGGGTGGTGAGCCACAGACCACACAGCACTCCCAGTGCTTGTCCCCCTGTCGTGGCACTGCCCTCGCTTGTCCCTTCCCCGCATTGCCCCTGACCTGTGATCATGAAAGGTTCATCACTGGACCATGAGGAATGAGTCTGCACCAGCAGGCCAGGCTCCACTCTCTAACGCTGCTCTCACATTAATCCATCTTCCCGAAAAATCGCACCCTTCTCATGTTATTCCCCCAATCAGGAAAGTGTCATGGGTCTTGATGGACTTTCACAGCCATGAACTTTGGTGCTGTCAAACCTCTCCAGAGCTGAGGAGCCCACACTGTGTAATGTTTTTATTAAGTATTCCTCACTCTTTCACTCTTCATCAGAGCAGCCGTTCCCCAATATTGTGCTCGCTCGTGCCTCTATAAGGTTTTGCTGTCTCAGATGCCAACTCAAATGAGTCATCCTTCAATGCTTTGTCCAAAGCCCCCTCCCCAGACCATCGTGGTGCCGCCTTCTTCTCTCATCCCGTGCAGTCACCTGTCTCTAATCAACAACCCACACATCACTGCTTGTTATCTAGCCACTATCTTGTCATCTAGTCTCTATAATTTTGGAACTTTTAAGAAATTCACTCTGCTTAACATTTATATTTTATATAGAAAGACAGTTACCTCATAAATATTTGAATGAATGACACAGATACCTAAATATTTAAATGAATAGACTACAATATATAATTTAGAGGATAAATAGCATATTTAGCCTATAAACATCCTGTGGTTATACTCCACATTATATTATTCATAAAGATAAACATACATTATTCAAAAATATTGTTCATTGCTTATTTTATAGGTGATATCACAGAATTTGAGAGCAGAATGTTCTTGGAGATCATTTATTCTGACCTCATCATGTTACTTGGAAGTTACTGGGGCCAAAGTGACCCAGCTGGTCAGAGACAGAGCTGCAGGGAGCCCCGACCTGTGGAAAATATCCGACGTGTTCTCCACCAGGGCTTGCTGTCTTCCCAGATGGCTCTCAGCCGCCTTCGGGGCTGTGACATGACCTTCCCTAATTTTTAAAAAGATCCCATGCTATTGCCTTGCAAAAGTGCCAGGACCATAAGCTAATAATCTTAAGCTCTAAAAATCATCCATGTATCTTTCTTGTTATTTTTCAAAAGTTACTAAATTTTTTCAAAGGTTATTAAAACTTGAAAAGGATTTGAAAATATAGCATAACATGATGTTTCATTAAGTCTCCATTATGTATTTTTTAAATACAGCAGGTCCTTACTTGGCATCATCGATAGGTTCTCGGAAACTGCGATTTTAAGTGCAACATCACATCATGCACTCAGGCAGCGCCTGTGACATTTGGCCAATGGTGGACCACTTATGTGATGGTGGTTCCATAAATTACAATGGAGCTGGAAAGTTCCTGTTGCCTAGTGACGTCACAGCCATCCTCAGGTCACATGCAACACATCACTCAGGTGCTTGTGGTGACACTGGTGTGCACAACCCCCCTGCACTGCCAGCCCAGTAAGAGTATGGCCCTACGGTTATGGGGGTATGCTACACCATCCAGGTTAGTGTAAGTGGCCCCCATGATGTTCGCACGATGACAGAATCACCTAGTGATACATTTTTAAGAACATTTTCCTATCATTAAGCAGCACAGGACTGCAAAATGAAGCCAATGTTACGCTAGGCTAACTGACAGAAACAAAAGCTAAGTTTCTACAGTATTTCTGGTCACAAAAACACCACCAAACTTCTACATAAAGACGCAAACACTTCTAACATGAAACGCTGAAATAAATGTGAGCCCTACAAACATTTCAGAAAGATGAATACACACAAGTAAGGGAATGAGTTTCCAACCCTCTGATTCCACTTCAGGGTCTCAGGGCAGGAGCCTCTCCCAACAGCTCAGGGCGCAGGGGGGACCCACCCTGGGCAGGACGCCCTTCCATCAGGGCCACCACACCCACCACACTCACTCGAGCAGGAACAGTGTAGACACGCCATTCACCTGACTGCACACCTATGGGATGTGGGAGGAAGCCGAGGCCTGGAGAAAACCCACAGACACGGGGTGACCATGCCAACTCTACAGAGACAGTGATCCTGGCAGGGAATCAAAATTGTTTTCTCATCAACATAACAAAACGATATTGAACAAAATGATGTTATTCAAGGACCTGCTATATTTTCAATGTATTTTTCCCATAATTACTGAGCTCATTTCCAAAAAGCAAATGAGTTTCTAGATAAATGCTCCCTCTGCAGGAATGTGTGATGCCTCCATAATCTCGCACCAGAGTTGAAGGCACCTCGGACAGTATTTTACCCCTCATGTTCGTCTCACCAAAGTACTGTCCTGATTTAAAAAACCTAACTCTAAATATACAACTCTAAAATGGTCATTTGGGTTCGGAGACCTTTTGAAAGGGTTATTCTCATGAAAGCAAATATGATAGGGTTGTTTATCTTATATATTTGAAATATGAATAGAATGTTAAAATTCATTGTGTAAAAAATTTTCAGGAAAAATAAAAACTAGTGTCTTAATTTTTAAAGTAGTATTTAATAAAGTATGTCCAAACATTCATGGTTTTTCAGTATACCCGTATATAACTAAACACAAATGGCCCGAGATGGCATTACATGATGTGACAGTGTGTGGCTCAGGTGACCACTCTGTGCTCTTAGGCCCATGTTATCTAGAGTTGGAAGCAGAGCTCGGTAGTGAAAGGCAAGTCCTCCTCAGCCACTCTTCCTCCGTCAGGGACGAGAGCCTGTGTCCCCTGAGACCTTTTCCTCCTCTGGCCCATGCGCTCCTCCAGGTTTGGGAGAGAAAGGGAGCTTTCCCAGTGTACATGGCTTTGTCTGCGGACTGGGCATCGTGCATCGTGCGTGCCCCTGAACAGGATGAAAACTCGCTCACTCTCATGCTGCGGACTGAAGGGTTAACACTCTACTCTCTTTTTTCTTTTCAGACAGTATTTCCTGTGCATCCTGATCAAGCGAAACAAATGCGCTGCGATGGTGACATGAACCACGAGCTGAGACTGGAGCAGTAGCCGCACCCCATCTTTTCTCTTCTCCTTTCCTTTTTGATGGTGCTTCTACTGGACCAGTCCGAGGAGAGCGCAACATGAGTTTTGTCAGGAAGCTCCGCAGACACTTCCAGAGGACGGTTGTCCTGCTCGCCACGTTCTGCACGGTGAGCATCGTCCTCTCCGCTTATTACCTGTACACGGGCTACAGGCAGGACAGCGACCTGTCAGAGGGGGCTGCAGCGGGGGCCTGCGGGGACGTGCAGCACCCGCCGCGGAGGCCGACGGCCGCGGACACCAGGCGGCTTCCCCGGGCCTCGAGCGCAGACCCCACGGTCCTGGTGTTCGTGGAGAGCCAGTACTCACCGCTCGGGCAGGACATCGTCACCATCCTGGAGTCCAGCCGCTTCCAGTACCACACGGAAATCGCTGCCGGAAAGGGCGATCTCCCAGCACTGACGGAAAAAACGAAGGGCAAATACATCCTCATCATTTATGAGAACATTTTAAAGTACATCAATATGGACTCTTGGAATCGAAGCCTCTTAGATAAATACTGTGTGGAATACAGCGTGGGCGTCATTGGGTTCCACAGAGCGGGGGACAGGAGCACCCAGAGCTTCCCGGGGAGAGGGTTCCCCTTTTCCGCACATGGGAACCTGGCAGTGAAGGACTGTTGCATTAATCCCCATTCTCCACTGCTCCACGTGACCAAATCTTCCAAGCTCGAAAAAGGCTCTTTACCTGGAGCTGACTGGACGGTTTTTCAGATTAACCACTCTGCCTACCAGCCAGTGATATTTGCCAAAGTGAAGGCCCCAGAAAACCTCCCCCCGCTCTCCAAAGGTGCTTTTTACGCCACGGTCGTCCACGACCTGGGGCTGCACGACGGCATCCAGCGCGTGCTCTTCGGCAACAACCTGAACTTCTGGCTGCACAAGCTCATCTTCATCGACGCCGTGTCCTTCCTGTCGGGGGACAGGCTGACCTTGTCCTTGGACAGGCACGTCCTCGTGGACATCGACGACATCTTCGTGGGGAAGGAGGGGACGCGGATGAACGTCCAGGACGTGAAGGTAAGGCTCTGTGACCTCCAAGTCTCCAGGCCTAGGTCACCTCGCGGGGGTTTACCAGCTGCTCCAGTCCCAGGACGCGGGACTCGGGTCATTTCAGCGAAGCTGCTGCAAACTGGGCTGGGCTGGCCTCCCAATCTCAGCCCGAGAACAGCTAAGTAGAGAACGTAGTTCTCTCTGAATCAAGGAAAATGAGGGTGATACTAAAGGACTGCTTGAGTGTGGCAGGATCCTCAAATGGTTTTCCACGTGTGTTTAAAACTAGAGTAGAAACCATTTTGTTTGATGACTTTCCAGAGCCTATCGACCTTAGAAATCTATTACTAATCTAAGACTTTAATCTATTTAAGTGTGAAATCCAAGTGAATTTGTTTTTCATTACAATAAATACTCCCACAAAATTTCAAGAATTAAAGAACTTACAAGGAGCAAGTTCAGATATTTTTGGAAGCCAAATGTGCAACCCATTTTCCCTTATTAGATTTTTTTGAAATTATGGAAATTAGCACTACTAAATATGAAGACCTATGAATACAAGTATACTTGTTCACATATAAACATAGGATTTTTAAATTACATTTACTGGGGTGACAATGGTTAGTAAAATTACATAGGTTTCAAGTGTACAATTCTGTAATACATCTTCTATACATCACATTGTGTGCTCACCGGCCAGAGTCAGTTCTCCTTCCAGCACCATGTATTTGACCCCCTTTACCCTCTTCTACCACCCCCTCCCCTGTTACCCTCTGGTAACCACCAAACTGTTGTCTGTGTTAAATGGATTTAAATTAACTTTCAGAATTCATCAAACGTTTCTGAAGCCCAAACATATATGAAGCCTATCAAGCTGCATTTAAATTGTATTGGATTTTTTATTGTGTAAAACTGCTGTCCTTAAATAGAAAACAATTACAGTAAAACCTTGGATTGTGAGTAACGTGGTTTGGGAGTGTTCTGCAAGACGAGCAAGCATTTCTAATACACTTTAACGTGGTAAACGAGCAATGTCTTGCAATACAAGTAGTTTGTTTCCAGAACGAATTATGCTCACAAACCAAAGTATTATTGTATTTGAAAATAGTTGGTTATTATTGTGAATGGACAGTGTTGCATAAACAATTGGTTGTTTACTATTAATGAAATTTAAAATTAAAATGATCTATATTTATCTTTGTTTCCTATTCAATATGCCATAGGATTTTGTCTCTGTTTTACTACACATTGATTTCACATAAAAGTGAAAGGAGAGAGTTTTGATACATAATCTTTATTCTGTATAGCTTTGACCTTTTGATAAAAAAAAATATGAAGAACTAAACTGGATGGAAAAAAATCTTCAGAACTGTATTCTTTTCTCCAGACACTGAGCACCTGACAAATAATGGCTGTGGTCGTCACATTAGTTAGATGAGCTACAATGCCAGAAGGGCCATTAAATGTTCCCATAGACCAGCGGTTCTCAACCTTTCACAGGGGTCACCTAAGACCATTGGAAAACACATATTTTCGATGGTCTTAGGAACCGAGACACCACTCCTCTATCCGTCTCCAGGCCCACATGCAGATACACCCACATACGAGTACCTGGTGACCCCTGTGAAAGAGTCGTTCGACCCCCAAAGGGGTCGCGACCCACAGGTTGAGAACCACTGCTAGACAGTGCGAAGACTGAAAAAAAAATCTTCATATTCTTGGCAATATTTTAGACTCTTCCTTGTATCTTAATAGAAATTAATTAATAAAGAAGTTGTGTTTAAGTTTTCATTATGTCTCCTGAAACATACTTTTGAATATGTGGCTAAATTAAAACCAAGCTGGTAGTTTAAATATTTATTATATGATTGAAAATTCCAAATAATACATCATTCTCTTCCCAGTTTTTTTATTTCCAAATATTATGATAAAACATGTTTTTAAGGTTTTTATTTTAAAGTAAAATTGTTTAAAACTGCCAAAATATATTGTTATGACATTTAAAAATATGCTAGATAAATCTCTGAGTTTTTTAAGCAAAGTCTACTATAGTCTCTAAAATTAGACAACATGCAAAAATGCCTTTTGTCCTTAAGTTTAAGCCATTTTTAAGGGGTATAAAAAAGCCTGCTGAATACATTCAATATGAATTTAGCATGTGTAAAATATTCTATGACTTGCTCACATTTAAATGGGAATATATTTTCTAACCAACCTAAAGGCTTAAAAACAAGTATGTGTTGAAATATTTGGGTCTTAAAATTACTTCTAAATTGTTTCTGTGATTGTTTCTCAAAACACTAATCCATTGTAGTCAGCTGCCCTGAGAGTCTACACATATTCACTGATTCATCCGTTCATTCATTCACCCATTCATTCACTCATTCTGTAAGCAGCTATTCAGCCTACACTACATGTGAAGCATTGTTGGCGGTACGTGGATGGCATCGTAAACCATGGTCTCATCCCTTCAGAAGGGAGGGTGCAGGCAAGGCGCGGCCGCTTAGGGAAGCCTGGAAGTGGAGACTCTGCCTGCTCAGGACTGGATGTGGCCGCATCACATGCCAGGCACGGAGGTCAGCACTAGAGATACAAAGACAAATAAACATGGCTCCTGCTTAGTGACAGTCTTGGGGTGGGGGTGAGATAAGTCAGCAAATAGCTTGCAATGCGGGAAGCACACAGTAGAGGGGCTACATGGTTTTCCGGAGTAAAGCTGTGGGAAAGGGTACACTGTGTACTACATTCCGGAAACTAGTAAGTCCTACTAAGGAGGACTGATTCTGAAGGCGAGACCAGAGAGATAAGATCATTTGGGAGGCTGTGGCTGTGATGTTCAGAGAAAAGAAGGCAATTTCTTGAAACTAGGAAATGTGAATAAGAATGTAGAAGGAAGGACCAATTTAAGAACTGTTTAGGAGGTAAAACTGAACAATTTAGTGATGGATCAATCAAGGTGAAAGAGAATATAATCAAGGGTGACATTACGATTTTTAGCACAGGTGAGTGATTGCTGATTCTTCCAATGGCAAAGAAAGAAGATCATAGTGAAGGTCATTACAGGCCACATTAAAAACTTCAGTTTTATTGAGGTGTGTCTGGGACATACCAGTACGGATATTCTTAACAGGTCGTGGCTTGGAAGAGAAGCCTGAGTAGCAAGAATAGATTTCAAAGTCATCATTCTATGTAGGGAATGGTTCAAAGCATGACAGTATGTGATATCTTTCAAAGCCAGGAGAGGGGTTTGTAGAGCGATAAAGGAAGATGATCACACTGTAGAACCTTGAGGAAAATCTCTTCCAGAAAATAGTGGAGGGCGAGAATCCCATGAGTAGGCATCAAAAGGAACAGATGCCAGGAAGCCAGGATGGTCCCAAAGTCTGGAGAGTAAGGTGCTCCAGAGAGGGTGTGACCAGAAACCCAAGAGCAGGGCCCACCCAGGTGAGGACAGGCAAGACCCGCCTGGAGAAAGACACAGGTCACTGGGGAGTCCTGCAGGGCCCACATACACGGAATGGTGGGGACAGAGGCACAGGTACAGGACGCTCAGGGAACCTGGGGGCTAAGACGTGGAGGAGGAGGGGAGGTACAGGAGGAGAAGTTCTGTTATGAAAGGACAGGAGGAAAGCTGGAGGGACTGGAGTTGGGGTGATCCACCCTCACGCTCTGCCCTGGGGGCATTCAGTGCTGAAACTCGGAGTTCAGGCAAGTAGGGTAAGAGGGTCCCCTAAGTAACTAAAATAAGGGAGTGATTTTATCCCAGGAAGAAAGAGCAGACAGCATGAGGTCAAGAAAAGTTGATTCATAGTACATAATTCACAGCAATATTTCAATCATTTTTTTATTTAATTATTACCACTTATGAACACGTTATATTTTCCTTATTTGAGGTAAGGAAAATTGACAAGAATGTGTGACAGTTAAAGGTAACAGAAATGTCACTAGCAAACATAGAAAAACGGCGCACAAAACATAAATTTTAACTACTATGCTAATCACTGCAAAAGTGTTATTTTTTCTTTATGTGAAACAAACAAAAAATGAGTTTCCTTATTTAAGTGGAAAATTGGAATTAGCAATGCAGTATCGGTTTTTGCCTACCTAGCTGTTGGATATGAGCACATTTTAAAGAGCCCCAAAGCTACAAAAGAAACTGTGACATGGCACAAAATACCGTACATGACTCTTCGTGAGGAAGAAAAAAATAATGAAAGGCTTGAGGTGTTGTCCTCATTAGTTGTGTCATTTACAAGTGACAAACCGTAGTCCTTAAAGAACTAAAGAACATAGCTTAGACAATTAAAATATTCAAAAGTGACACTACTGATTTCAGTTAAATGAGGTCGGGAAAAAAAAGGTGTGTTTTATTGAACTATGTGGACAAGACTTGTCTCAAGTTCACCGTGGACTAGTTTGGTGACATTAGAAAATTCTGGCTCCTTATGTTCTGGGGCCTGCTCAAACTTCCTGAGACTAAGGGTCCACAAAGTGCTTAGGGGAGGGAACATGATGTTTACAAATAAATGTTTCTTTCACTAAAACATGTGAAAGTTACACATGAGAGCACAGCATGACTGAATGAAAATTAACAATTCAAATTCTCTCTGAGAAGAAGGAATTCACTCCTGGCCCCAGACCCACTACACCTTTAGTCTTAGACCGTTTCTTCTAAGCTTTCACCCCGAGGACACGTGGGGAGGGCACGGAGGAGACTGGTGGAGGTGGGTGTGGGGTCTTAATGAACTTGCATACACACTCAGCAGCTCCCAGGCCCACGCGTCACTCTTCCTCCTGCTCCTCTCCTCTCTGTAACGGCATGCATTGTCTAGAGCTTTGCCAACTCTAACACCCACGGGACAACGCGGAACCAGCCAGGCTGTCTCTGCGCATACTAAGGGGTGCCTCTAGTGTGATGGGAGGTACCCCGCAATGCCTCCCCTTGCCCCTGGCCCCCACCGCCCCCAAAACGTTCCCATGATTTCCTTATACTCCACTGTGCCTTAACTTGGCTGTTTGTGGATTAC